TTAATTTATGTTTACAGATAATTTTATAATCTTTTGGATAGTGTTCGTTAATTTAATCTTTTAATTTAAATTAGATTTGTAAAACTCATATAAATAATAGTTTTGTAATTTATATAAAATTAACAATAAATTGTCTATAGTTTAATTTATAATCAACTTATGCCTTTTTATGACTGAATTCATAGTATCAGAATTATTGGTAGTGGGTAATTTGTTTTGAAAACACAAATAATTTTTAGAGCTAGGAACAATAAGTTTTTATGTCAGTTATTAAATTATTTTTTAAAATTTCTATATTTATTTTATTATATACTTTTCATAGTTATCAGATTTAGTTAATTATCTAATATAATTAAGTAAAATATTTAGATTTATTTTCATTTATAAAAATTTTAACATTTTTATAAATATTTTTTGAACACAAGAAATTTTTTTTAATTATTTTCTTTTAATGTGTTAACTATAGCCTTTTCCCTTAACAAATTTAAAATATTTAAATGATTTTTTGTCTTTTAGTTGTATGGATAAAACAGGAAATATTGGGTAATTAAAAAAACATTTCTAAATATAATTATTTATAGATAATAATGTGTTAAACCATACGTTGTGTAGTAACTATACAATTGCATAACATTACTTTTTTTGCATATAATTTACAAATTTAATTATTTCATTTGATCCTAAAAAATAAAGAAAATTAACATAAAAATAAATATAAAAATAAATTTTAACATACCACAAATCACATTTATTTCAGGTAAAATTGAAAATTGTTTTTTAAAAATTTGGTAAATTATAAGATATTAAAATTGAATTATATATTTTATCTTTACTTAGTTGTTTTTTCATAATACAATTTATTGCTCCCTGGTGGACCTAAAATTTTTTCAAGTGAACAATTGTTCCTAACTTATACACTGACCGAAAGCTATCCAATGGCAATGCTAGCAATCATTAACTATAAACTTTCTTTTTTAATAAAATTTAATCATTATTTCTATTATTTTTTTAATTCAATATTTTAATGAATTAAATATTGTTTACATGAAATATCATATCAACTAAATTTTTTCGGTATTTTAGTTAAAAAATTTATTTATAACTTTGACATTTGATTATTTTTGTTGTTTTTAAATATTAGTTAATCAAATAAATCAAATTCATTAAAAATTTATCTATAAAACTGTATTTTAGTTTTAATAGAATAATTGAATTATTTCTAAATAATAAATATTATATAAATAGTCGATATTTTCATTATTAATAATTTTTTTATTCTATAATTTTTAACAAACAAAATAAACTGTAAACTTATTGATTGGAGAAAAAATTCATTTATTAATTTGTCTAAAATTTAAACTTTTAGGTTTAATAACTAATTATGAATTATTTATAAAAATATTCTTTTATAACCCGATAATTATTTTTAAAAAATAAAAAATTAATTTATCTGATCAAACAATACATTTTATATATAAAAGTAAAAAATGGCAGATTAGTAAATAATATTAAATACAATTTATTCAATACAAACTTTGTTTATTACACAAAAAAAAATCAAATAATATAATTTATAGATTGCAATAGACAACTGTAATTATATTTAATATTATTTAACTTATAGAAAATAATAATTTTAAAATAACATATTAGTGTGAGATTTCTACAATTATCATATATTATTTTTATTTAATAGTTTTATTTATTAAATATTATTACTATAATATTGTACGCAATTAATTTAATTGAGTTATTTTATTAACACCACCTTTAATTTTTATAAATAATTGACAAAAATTGAGTCCAATCAAAAAAATACTTATTATTTATGGTTAAAAAAAATCTTGTGATAATTAAGATTGTTATTTTCAAATTATAAATAAATACATTAACTTTTAATTAAAAAAAATTAAATATAATAATACATAATTTTTTAAATCTAGTATTAATATAATATATACTTTAGACTTTATTATAATTTAATATGTAATATGCATTTGTAGCTCAATGTAAATGTATTCAAAAAAATTTTATAATTAATAATGAAAATGTGTAAATGTAAAAATTTATGCTTTAATTTATTTTTTTAATAATGAAATTAATTACACTATTCATATAAAATTATGACATTTTATTTAAAATTATGATATTTTATTTAAAATTAAAAAACCAAAAAAATTAGGTACATTTATGACACTTTAAATTATTGCCAATAAATACATGTGTTTATGGTTTTTTGTAAAAAATAATTTATTTAATTTTTTTTACAATATTAAGCAATTATAAATTTTATAATACTTTATTTAAATAACTTTATTTATAAAAATAATCTTTTAGTTGTTTAATAAAAATTAACTAATAATTATAATATTGTAAAGTATTTTTAAAAATATGTTTTTCAATAAAATTTACTCAAATATTTTACAATAAAAATCATATATTAAATGAAACTTTTTAATTAAATTATACTAAAAAACTTTTTTTTTAATTTAAGTAACTTAATTAAATAAATTAAAATAAATGTTAGTAATTATTAAATACAAATAAATAAATTTTAATTTTAATTAACATAATATATATATATATTATGAATTTATTTATAAAAATAGTAATTATTTTTTTATTACATCTAAAAATAAAAAAAAATTTAAAAAAATGTATATTTAAATTACAAAAAAAAAATAAAACACAAGTTTATTAATAGTGGCATTTTTTTATTTGAAAAATATATTTTATAAAAATATAATGTTTGCAATCATTTATTTCTAGTTTCGGATATTATAATATTATTAAAAATATTAAAATATTTTATAAAACTTTTGTATTTTTTAATAAAAATCATAATTTATAAGATTTTATATTACTATTAATTTTACATAAAATTTATATGAATTAGCATATGGTATATATTTTAAAAATATATTCAACATAACTATTTTTAATATTAAATAAAACAAGATAAGTGCAAATTTTTTTTAATAAATTGATTAATTCAAGTTTTTTTTCTAAAAAAGTAATTAATTTAAAAAAAATTAATATCGATTAACATATTTAAATTGTATTTTTGAATAAACAAGTTAATTTATCATTCAAAAAATAATGGTATAAATACTGGCTCGCTTAACATATTAAAATTAACTAACTAGTAAAAAATTTATTATTTTTTTCAATAAGTTGTAAAAAAACTAAATAAATTTTATTTTAAACTAAAATATAAATAATGAAATTTATAATTTTACTAATTTCTCCAATAGTTGTTCTAACTTTGTTTCAACCAATTGATGGCCGAAAAAGTAGACCCGAAATACTGATTGATGAAGAAGAAGACACCGATTCTCGGGAATCACAACAGAAAGATAAATTGTTGGGTGGAGATCCTAAAAGTTGGGGACCATATGCTCATCATCATCACCTAAAACGTTCTATCGATACACCAAAAGATAAATTATTGGGTGCGGACCCAAAAACTTGGTCACCATATGGTCATAATCAACAACAAAAGCGTTCCATTGATACACCAAAAGATAAAAAGTTGGGTGGAGATCCAAAAACTTGGGGACCATATGCTCATCATCAACAACAACAACAAAAACGTTCTATTGATACACCAAAAGATAAAAAGTTGGGCGGAGATCCAAAAACTTGGGGACCATATGCTCATCATCAACAACAACAAAAACGTTCTATTAATACACCGAAAGATAAATTATTGGGTGGAGAAAAAACAACATTAAGATATTTTCAACAAAAACATTCTATCGATACACCGAAAGACAAATTGTTGGGTGGCAATCCTAAAACTTGGGGACCATATGCTCATCATCAACAACAACAAAAACGTTCCATTGATTATCCGGAAGATAAAAAGTTGGGAAAAAATTGGAAATATATGTATCCATTACTTGAAAAATCATTAAGAGATCGTCAGAATTCAATAGAACTTGAAAACTAATGGCAAAAAATGGACTAAAATATAATTTCCTTAAATTTTTAAAAATTCTAAATTTACATAATTTTTTTCAATCAAAATTCAATGATATTTGTTTGATTTTATTATATATATATTGTTTTAATCTAAAATAATACTACAGAAAAAATTTGTTTTCAATAAAAAATTTTATTATTTGCATTTCAATTAATCAATAACTTAATAATTATTTTATGGTATAACTAATAAGTTAATTAATTTCATAAATAATTTTTTAGATAATATTATTTTCTACAGTTTGTCCGATGATTATATGATATAAAATATTTTTAAAATTTTTAAAGTAAAATAAGTTTTTAAAACTTCATATTTATTACAAATATTATACAATATTATTTATGAACATTTATAAAACTAATTGATTCTAAGTTAACTTAATTAAACTATAATAAAATTGTTAATTATACATAATTCACTAAAAGTTAATTAAATTACTTATAAAAAATAGTTTTAATATTAAATCAATTATTATGTTTTTATGTTTATTTTTAATTGATTTTATAGATTATTTTAAAAATAATGACTATTTAATTTTTAGACTACTATATAATACAGTATTACTATTATACATCAACTAAATTATAAAAATAAATTTTTTACTCATATGTTTTAATTTTCAGAAAAATATAATAAATCACTTTAATTTTTAATATATTGTTTTATATATATATATATATATATATATATAATTTAAATCCGGACAAAACTGATTACAATTTAAATAATTCATAGTTTATAAGTAATATTTATATTTTATATGTTATGTTATAAAAAAATATAATCAGTTTAATATATTATGCAACTCATAAAATGTTACTTTTTTAAGCGCAATTTAGTAAACTAAAAGTTATACATTATTTTTATATATACAGTAATTATTATTTTAGCAATTAATAATAACTATTTTATAATATATTTAAGTAATTATTAGTAATTATAATTTCCAAATTATAAGACAATTGTTTTTTTTTAAAGTATTAATATATAATATTTGTGTTTATATTATTAAATATTATCCTTTTATAAACTCAAAAATAATCATTGCTCCTAATGCACAATATGACACAATAAGTGCTATATTTACAAATCGACCTTGTTCATTTCCATTATTATTATTTCTATGATTTTCCCGTTCCCGTTCCTGTTCCTGTTCCTGTTCCTGTTCCTGTTCCTGTTCCTGTTCCTGTTCCTGTTCCTGTTCCTGTTCCTGTTCCTGTTCCTGTTCCTGTTCCTGTTCCTGTTCCTGTTCCTGTTCCTGTTCCTGTTCCTGTTCCTGTTCCTGTTCCTGTTCCTGTTCCTGTTCCTGTTCCTGTTCCTGTTCCTGTTCCTGTTCCTGTTCCTGTTCCTGTTCCTGTTCCCGTTCCTTTTCCCGTTCCCTTTCCCGTTCCCTTGCCATTGACCTTGCCCGTTCCCTATCTTTTGCCCGTTCCCTTGCCATTGCCATTGCCCTTGTCCGTTCCCGTTCCTTTTCCCGTTCCCGTTCCCTTGCCATTGACCTTGCCCGTTCCCTATCTTTTGCCCGTTCCCGTTCCCTTGCCATTGTCATTGCCATTGCCCTTGTTCGTTCCCGTTCCCGTTCCCGTTCCCGTTCCCGTTCCCGTTCCCGTTCCCGTTCCCGTTCCCGTTCCCGTTCCCGTTCCCGTTCCCGTTCCCGTTCCCGTTCCCGTTCCCGTTCCCGTTCCCGTTCCCGTTCCCGTTTCTGTTCCTGTTCCCGTTCAATACCATCAATATTATTATCAAAACTACAATCAGTTTCCGGATGATACGATTTTAGGCATATCGTACAAAATGTTTGATCACATTTCCAACAGTTTCCAGCCATTGATTGTTCAATATTGTCGACAACTATCTCAGCCGTACAGTCAGTATTTGGACAGTAATACTGAAATAAATACAAAATTATTGACAAAAAAATAACTTTAGATAACATATAAAAATATTAATTATTATTTATTTACCGTATTATCAGTATTATCCATATTACTAATGTCAACCAAAATCATAAGTTGATTGTATTGATTGTACAACTCTACGCCCACAATATCCTTCACCAGTTGTCTAGTGGCCACCATTGAACAGTTGATTTTAGGACATACCAGTGGTTCAATACAATTATTATTGATGGCATTGGTCATCAATTGGTGTATACAGTCCCGACAATACAGGTGCTGATGACAACCATAATCAACGGCACAATCATTAGGATATCTATTGTTACATAATTTGCATCGAAAATGTGTTGAATTAGTTTTGTTGTGAACACTATCATCATCTAAGATATAAAAAAATATATATTTATATATATATATATACTGTATATATACTATAATATAAGTGCTAAATATTTTTAATTATATAAAATAAATAATAATAAAAAAAATAATTCATAAATTTATTAAAAATTTAATTATTTTACCTAGATCAACACTACTTATAGCAATTATTTCATCAAGTTGTGCTTGTTCATCTAAATAATATAATAAATTTTTTGTTTTAAATAAAAAATTTTCATTACTTATTATTATTAGTATTAATTTTTCATGTATAACATTTATAAATAAAATTGATAAAATTAAAATTAATATTACCATCATCATTATCATTATTGTTAAATTGTTTTTCTATTATTTCATTTGCCTGTTGTTCATAATATTCAGGATTCCGGTTCAACAATACATTGGGATTATTTGGATCCCGGGCTGATTCAATTAATTTATTCACTAATTGTTTAAATTGTTTATTTTTACTAGATTTTAAACTGGTAAAAAAATAATAATAATATTATTATTATTTATTTATATTCTAGTTAAATATTTTTAACACTTATATTAGAAACTATATATATATATAACTATATTTTACCTTAATTGATTTTTGCTTTTTCTTAACTTATCATCATTGATCTCACTTTTAATTAATTTTATCAAGGTAATTCTGTCTAAATTTAAATGTGAATATTCGGCCATTTTTTTGTCAATTATTTTACGCTCTTTTGAAACATTTATTTTTGATTTATCTGCTATTTATATATAAAAATTAACAAAAAACAATAAATCAAAACTAAATTATTAAATCAAAAATTTTGTATTACTATCAGTAACTTATTTATATATATATATATATATAATTATGAAATTATATTAAACTTATTAAAATTTATATCATAGATACTATTTATATCATACAAGTTTTCATGTTGATTATATATATATATATATACTAGCTTAATTTTGTTGATTTGCTAATATACAGTTTATTTTATTCATTAAGTATATTATGGAAAATAATATAAATAATTATTATTATGGTTTAATTATATATATTAAGTTGAATTTTTGTTATTTAAATTTATAAACTTACTCAATGTTTTCAAATCATTGTCATTATTAATGTTATTATTATCAATAGTATTATTGTTTTGATTTTGGTTGACTGTTTTATTTTGTTTGGGTATAGCACCTTAATTTTTAAACAAAACAAAAAATATTTAACAAAATACAATAAAAAAATTATTATTACATTAGATTTTACCTTTAGATTTATGGACGCTATTTTTAGATATGTCCGAAACGACATTTTTATTTGCATCTATATTTAAATATATAAATTGATCAAATAAGAAATGTTATATATATGATAATTTAAAATAAATAAAATAATATGTTTTAGCACTATATATTTTATTAATATAATATTTATTGTCATATTTTAATATTTTACTAACTATTTTAGCTATCATTTTAAAAAATATTAGAAAATAAAACAAAATTCTATATTAAATTAACATATTATTTTGATATATGAGTAAAATTTTAATTATAATAATAAAAAATATTAGTAATAAATTTTTTACTTGATTTATTTTCCTGATTATCATTGTTACTAGTTGATGGGCATATTTGTTGGTAAATATTTTTTAGTAGGATAAATATTTAAAAAAAACATATTTTAATATTGATTATAAATAATTGATATATTAAAAATTACTTATTTTTTATCTTACTTATTATCACCGATGTTTGCCAGATCATCTACTTTTATAAAAAAAATACAACTAATTAATACAATAATTATGTATTTAAATTATAGTATATATTATATATATATTTAATTTTATATTTTATTAAAAAATTTTTTTGTTTATTAACAACTAACTTTTTATTTCCATTGCAACCAAAAATATTTTAACTTATTGCATTACTATTGAAAATAATTTTTTTTTGGAGACTGATTTTTATCAACAATTTTATTTGCACGTAAACACAGTAATTGATAAAATAATATTAAAATTGATATCAAAATATATTTTATTCCGTATATATTTATACATTTTACTTACTTATTAAACATTTTAAATACTGTATATTATAAATGTTAATTTTTATTTTATTTAATTTTATTCAATTTATGTTACTAACTTTATTTTATGTTGTTGTAATATAGCAGTTAATTTAAAATAAATAAAAAAATGTTGCAATAGATATATTTTATAAATATTATATTTATTGCAACATTATAATATTTAGCTAACATTTAAAGATATTATAAATAAACAAAGTTATTTATTAAATTAAAATATTATTTAAATATATAAAAAAATTTAATTTTAAAATTAAATAACAAAATAAAAATAAAATTAATAAAAATTTTACTTGATCTATTTGCCCGTTGATCATTGTTATTAGTTTTTGGCATATTTGTTGCTAAAAATTTTTTTGCTAGATAAATTTAAAAAACATTAACTATAAATAATTAACAAATTAAAAAATAACTTAAAAAATTATCTTATTTATTATCAATAATGTTGTTTGCTAGATCATCTAATTTTTTTTTGAAAAAAACACAATTAACAAAAAAACACGTGTATTTAAATTATAGTATATTATATATTTATTATTTAAATAAAAATATTAAATATTTAAATTATATATTAATTAAATAAACCTTAAAAATTATCATTTAAATTTTCAGCCATTTTTTGAGTGAATAAAATAAATACAAATATATTTTTATAAAAAAATTTTTATATTAACAACTAACTTTTGTATTTTTGCATTGCAACTAAAATATTTAATTTATTGCATTATTATAAAAATAACCTGATTTTAGATACTAAAATTTTTTTATCAACATTTTTATTAGCACGTAGACAGTAATTGATAATATTTTTATTTATATTATAAATATTTTTTTTTATTTAGGTTTATGTTTATGATGAAAAATTTTTCAAATTATATATTTAATAAATGTATAAATTTGTATAATTTCATATATATATAATAAATGTATAAAGTTGTATTATTTTATATATTTATTATCTATTATTTTATGATATTTTTATTAATAATACAAAACAGGATATGAAAATATTGCAAATTAATTATGTTTAAATAAAATATTTAAAAAAAACAATTATAACTGTTATTTTATTTAGAAAATCAATAAGTTATTCATTATAATCATTATTAGCTTTTGTTTTCACATAATTTATAAATATATTTATTAAAAATACAAAAATATTTATAAATTATTAATTTTAATTAAATATAATTAAATTAAATAGTTTATAGATTGCAATAAACAACTGTAATTATATTCAATGTTATTTAATTTATAGAAAATAATAATTTCGAAATATCAAAATAGTATTTATTAATTATTATCATTATTTATTAAATAATTTTATTTATTAAATATTATTATTATAATATTATGCGCAATTAATTTAATAAAGTTATTTTTTAACACCAATCTTTAAATTAATATAACTAATTTACATAAATCGGGTCTATTGTATCAAATTACACTTTTTTTAAAATTATTTATGGTTAAAAAAACTTTTGTTAACTAAGATTGTTATTTTTAAAATTAAAAAAAAATAATACTTAATTTAGAAAAAGTTTCTATAATAATATATAATAGTTACAAAATATTTAATGTTAATTAATTAATTATAATAATAAATTTTTATTAATTATTAAAATATATGTTATGATCAAATTTATGCTTTTTATAATTTTTAATTATTCATATTATTATTATTATTACCGTTATTTTGATGTTTTTTTGTTGATCATATTGTTTTACAATATAAATAGCATCTGATTTTTTTTACGGTATATAAGTCGAACATAGTTTACATTTTATAGACAAAACAGTAATTAAAATTATATATAAATTATTAAATAAACGTTTATTTTTTAACTATTAAATACAAGCAGTCATTAAGTTTAAACTTTTTTTTATATATATGAAATTTAATTAGTATTACTATTATTTTTAATTGAGTATTATGTTTGTTAGTTATGACTAAAAAATAGATAATAGTTAATAATATTTTTTTTAAATTCAAAAAATTTGTGTTTTTTCAATAAAACATTGTTTTCGATAAAATAAGTGAATTTTATAGTAAAAAGATTTAAATAAAAAAAATAAATGCATTTATTTACAATAATTTTTCACAATCTGTATAAAATTTATTGTTATTTATAAACTATATTTAAACTATTAAATTATAAAAAAAAATTTTTTATCTATTATTATATTATAAATTTATTTTTATTAACTGTATATAACTATATATTATTACATCAAACATTTAAATCAATAACAATTAATTTTAATTAAGTATTTAGCATTTAAACAAAAATATTAATAAGTAAGTATTAATTTGTTGGTAATTAAAAAAATTATTAATAATTATTATATATATAATAATTTATTGAATAATATTATACATATAATAATTATAATAATAATAATAATAAAATATAAAATAAACTAAAACTTATTTACTTAAAGTTTGTTCAATTTGTTCCATAAATTCATCCAAATGTTTATCAAAAACAATAAGATATTGATATTTTTCAGGTAACTGAGCTCTACCACCAGCACCGGGTGGCGACAATCTATTCAATTGTTCATCCAATGCCTCATCAAAAGCCAGACCCAATTCCCTGTATAGTTCGCAAAGCATACGACCAAAATTAGGCCTCAATTCACTGGTCAGTTCATTGCCCAATGAGACAGACAATTGTTGAAACATTGATCCCATAGTATTATTCTTACGATAGATAGACTGATTCGGCCGATTATGGCCACTGATTCGCGGTTCAAATACCTGTTTGATATTTGAGTTAAGTTTTTCTAACAGTTTGGCAACTGTTGTCAAATTGATGGCAAATTTATCGCTAACAGCTTTACGTAGACTATGTTCAAGCAGTACTACATCGTCGTATAATACGGTAACCACTTTACCGACATCCTGGCCAATGGCATAGTCCAGATCGTCGATGGGATCGGCGGCTAAATCGTTGAAAAATTGACGCAAATCTGTACCCAATTCATCCAATTGTTGCTGAAACTCGTCGGCCATTTGGTTTAAGCCATTTTGTTTGAATATACTGACAAAATCAAACTTGACATCCATTGTAGATACCGGTCCTACTGTTTGTTTGTTTGTATTCAATAGTTTTTTTCAAATAATAATAATTAGTAAATAATAATTAAAAATATTATTTTTTCAATTAATACTTACAATAGATAAGTCCCATTAGGACTAATGTTGTTAACAGTATATTGTTTATTGATTTCATTGTTTAATTAATAAGTTTTAATTAGTAAATTTACTAACAGTAACTTATTTAATATTTTTTTATGTTTGTAACAATAATAATATCAATAATAATAATATTATTATAAATTATTATTAAAATATATTTTAAATGTGAAAATACTTTTTTTTTGGTTGCTTTTATACAATTTTATTAGACTATTAATTCAATACTTAATTTGATTATTTATGATGTTTAATAATTATAGTGTGATTTATTGAAATATTTTATTTTTTAAAGAAAAATTTAATACAGTATTGTTTGAATTTTTTTGTTAATTATTTGTTGTTTTTTATTGGTGATAAAACTGAACATTAAATTGCCTAAACTGTTAAATAAATTTTATTAATGATTTTTTCAAAATACAAACTATTTAAGACATTTTTATTACTGTATTTACGTAATCATTGCGCAGATTAAATGATTTATTACATTGTTTATTTTACAAAAAAAATTATTTATAGAAAAATCATACTAATAAACAATTAATTTAATATTTTTATTATAATAATTATTGTTTATTTTAATAAATAAACTTAAACAATGTGCAAATATATTAGCTAATGTTAGTAATTTTTTTTTAAATTATTGGTTACCAAATTTATCTAATTAATAAATCTATTTTTAAATTTACAATTAATAGACATTAAATAATGATAATAATTTTTAAAGTACTATAAAGTATACTATAAAGTCTAATATAATAATTACTAATATTATTATTTTTTGATGATATATTTCACATATTTAATTCAACTAATAGGCATATTTTTTTAGTAAATTTTTATAATAATAATACCCTGTAGTGTTTAATACAGTATATTGATTGATATTATTTAATTTTTTTTAACTAACTGGTACTATTTTTTATGATTTTTTACCATGAAAATTTGTTTTTATTTTTTTCAATAATTACCGATAATAATCTATAATTACTATTTTATCTTATGTTTTAATTATTTGCTATTTATACAAGTGAAAGATTTTTTAAAAATTTTTCTTAAATTATTCAATAATAATATAAATAATTATAATAATACAATTTACAAAATATCATTATAATGTGTGCAAAATTTTTATTATTCAATATTATTTTATATTTATCATATTGTGTTAAAAAAAATTTGATGATAATTTTGTAAAAGAAATTTAATTAACGTTATCCTATTAATTAAAAATAAAATATTTAAGTTTAAATTTGCGTTTTATATATTGATATAAATGTATGAAACTTAATGTCTTAAATTACTTTATATAAAAAATTATTTCATGTTAATAGTGTATGCAATCTACAAAAAAATATATAAATATGTTATATAAAAAATAACAACAAATAAAACAACAAATAACAATAAATATTTTGTATTAATTATATTTGAACATGTATTAATTAACTAAACAATTTAAATAAACAATTTATTGAAACAAGAAATTAATTAATTATTTTAACTAAAATTAATTTACAATTTTTGTATAAATACTGTAGTTATAACTATTGTATACTAATAATTATAATAATAATTATTATTTTTATTTTATTAATGCATATTTTATTAGAAAATATATGAAATCGATGGCTGCATAGAAAATTTAAAATAAATTAAAAACAGCAAAAAAAATACATTTTGTAATAATTAAATTTGAACATTTATTAATTAACTAAAAAAATTTTTATAAAATAAAGTACAGTAGGCTAAAACTGTTATTTAATTTTTTTAATTAATTAAATTTTTTTATTACTTAATATTTAAGACATTTATTTTATTGACGTAAGCATCGATCAAATTAAATGTTATTAGTTATTAAGTTTTACCGATAATAATCAATAATTACTATTTTATCTAATGTTTCGCATATTATTTGCTATTAATACAAGTGAAAGATTTTAAAAAAAATCTTTTTATTTAATTATTCAATAATAATATAAATAATTACAATAATTATAAGCAAAATGCTATTTACAAAATATCGTTATAATGTGTACTAAATTTTTATTATTCAATATTATTTTAAATTTATCATATTGTGATAAAAATTTGATGATAATTTTTTTTAAAGATCCTATTAACCTATTAATCCTATTATTAAAAATTAAAATAATTTTATAATTTTTCGCAATCTATATAATGTTATATATTGTTATTTTAATTATTAAATAATAAATTTAAAAAAACAATTTTACTTATTATCTACTATTATATTATATTTTTTTATTATTTGCATATAAATATTTATAATCTCTTGTTTTATAATTATTTAAAATATATTTTTTTTAAAAAATTAGCACAACAGTTATATATAAATACTAATACTAAAAAAAAGTGTTTAATATTTAAGTTTACCGGTAATGTTATTATACAAATTTTATATATTGATTAGATAAATGCATGAAACTTAATGGCTAAAATTACTTTATTTAAAAATTATTTCATGTTAATAGTGTATGCAATCTATGGATGTATAGAAAATAACAACAAAAAATATTTTGTATTAATTAACTAAACAATTTAAATAGACAATTTATAGAAACATGAAATTAAATTAATTATTTTAACTAAAACTAGTTTACAATTTTTTTATAGATAGTTATAACTATTGTATACTAATACTACTACTACTAATAATACTTATTTATAATAATATTTATTATAATAATTATTTTTATTAGTATTAATGCATATTTTATACAAAATATATACAATCAACTACTATATAAAAAAATAAATTATAAACATTTTGTAATAATTAAATTTAAACATTTATTAATTATCTAAAATAAAGTACAATATAATAATTTACAATTATATTAATAACAATTATTATAGTTATTGAATAATATTTTAAGATATAATAACAGACAATTCAATTTCATAATCAACTAAATTAATTTGTTAAATGTTTGTTGAATTTGTCCAAACAATTGATCCCATTGTTTATCAAAATCAATGAGATATCGATATTTTTCGGGTAACTTATCTCTACCGCCTAATCTGTTCAACTGGTCATCTATGGCCTCATCAAAACCGATGCCCACTTCCCGATATAATTCATTGAGAAATCGGCTAAAATTATGCTCCAATTCCTTGGTTAGCTCACTGCCCATTGAAGCGGCCAATAATTTAATTACTTTTGACAAACTATTGTGACCATAGAGTGACTGATTCGGCCGATTTTGGCCACTGATTCTCTGATCAAATGACTGTTTAATAGTATCCTTAAGTTTTTCTAACAGTTTGACAACAATGTTCAAACTGTCGGCTAACTCATCGCTAACAGCTTTACGTAGATTTTGTTCAAACAGTATGAGATCGTCATGTAATACGGTTATCATAATATCGACATCCTGGCCAATGGCATAGTCCAGATCATCGATGGGATCGGCGGCTAAATCGTTGAAAAATTGACGCAAATCTGCGCCCAATTCATCCAATTGTTGCTGAAACTCGTCGGCCATTTGGTTTAGACCATTACGTTTGAATATACTGACCAAATCAAACTTGACATCTATAGTAGATACCGGTCCTACTGTTTGTTTGTTTGTTTGTATTCAATAGTTTATCAAATAATAATAATTAGTAAATAATAATTTTAAAAAAATATTTTTTAAAAATTAATACATACAATAGATAAGTCCCATTATGACTAGTGTTGTTAACAGTAAACTGTTTATTAATTTCATTGTTTTATAATAAGTTTTAATTATTAATTTTTATTAATAATAACTTATTTAATTTAGTAATAGTAATAATAATGTAATAATTATTATTAAAATATATTTTAAATGTTAAGATATATTTTTTTCGGTAGCTTTTATACAATTTTATTTGCCTATCAATTAAATACTTAACTATTTATATATTATTTATGATGTTTAACAATAATAATAATTATAGACGTGTCAATTTATGAAATATTTTGATTAACTATTTTAATATTTAAATTTAATATTGTTTGAATTTTTTTTTTGTAATAATTGTTTACGTCATTTAAAAATGTTTTTTTATTATTACTGATAAAACTGACACTATATGACAAAAAAAACTGTTAATTAATTTTTTATTAATTAGTTTTTAAGACATTTATTTTATTGACGTAAGCATTTAAATGTCTTAATACAGTATTTATTTATATTGAAAAAACTAATTGTTTTTACACATGAAAACTAGCAGAGGATGAAAAAAATAACAACAAAATAACATAAAAGAAACAAAAATTTAATTAATTAATTAATTTTATAAATAAATAATTGAAATTAAATCTAAAAATAAACTAATAAATAATTAATTGAATATTTTTGTTTTAATAGATTATTAAAAATATAGGGTTAACAATTAAGTAATTATTATAAATAATAATTAATACACATTAAAGAACACAAAATTAAATTATTTTTTTATAATAAATTATAGATAAGTAATATTAAGATTATATATAATAATTAAGTATCTATTACAATTACTATTTAAAACATTTTAATAATAGTAATTATATAAACTAAAATATATAGATAAATGCTAAAATGTTATATTACTAACTATTTTACTATTTAAATATATATATATATAAATTTATATATGTATTATATGTTATTTATATATATATAAATATAATGTTTATGATTTATAATATATTTTTTGTAAAAAAATATTTAATAAAATAATTAATTTATACTATAATATAATAATTAATTTATACTATAATATAATAATTAATTTATTCTATAATATAATCATTTATTTAAATGTTATAAAATTTTATTTTTTAAAGTTATTTTGTTGTATTTTTTAAAAAAATATCACATTTTATTTACTAATACAAGTTAAAAATATTTATTTAATTATATTTTATTAAATATTTATATAACATATTAAAGTGCTAGAAAATTTAAAACATTTAAAGAAATTAAAAAATATATTACCATTATATAAGTAAAAACTTATAATAAAGTTTATAATAGCTTTAGTATTATATCTTAATAATATTGTGCTATTAAATAATAAGCTAGTTTAGTAAATTAATTTATTTTATAAAAAAAATAAATATTTATCAATTTTGATTTATTATAAAATCTGTTTCTATATACAAAACAGTACCACCTGTACAATATATACAGTATTAATTAAATTTAAATATTAATATAATTTTTTATCTTATTTTTTTATACTTATTTTATCTACATTTACTAATTATATAACATATATAATATATCATTATAATAAAACTTGTTTTTTAATATAGCTGTAGATTTATCATAATTAATAGTTATTTTTAAATAAAACATTTACAAAATAAATTTATTGAATTGACATCAAAATTAATGTAATTGTAAATTTATATTAAATTAATATATTAATCATTTATAGTTAATATAATTAATTAATTAATTAATTAATAATTGGATAATAAACTCAAACATTACATTAATGTATGTGTAACTTGACATTGAAATTATTAGTTATTATTATTATTAGTAGTAGTATAAAGTTATTACAGTATAAATACGGCTCTATCTTAAAATCAGACCGCATCAGACTCCCGACTCATAATGTTTTGTGAATAACTATTAAACTATATTTTTAATATAAAAATGACCAATGGCAAAGTTATAGATAATTTTAGACTAAATATATTTATAATTAATTATTTTTTATTTACTCTTATGATTGGCCAGATAATTGCATCAGACCAGTTAAAAGAGGTGCAATTATCTGGCCAATCATAAGAGTAAATATAAAATAATTAATTATAAATATATCCAGTTTAAAATTATCTATAACTTTGCCATTGGTCATTTTTTAATTAAAAATATAGTTTAATAGTTATTCACAAAACATTATGAGTCGGGAGTCTGATGCGGTCTGATTTTAAGATAGAGCTTATAAATACAGTATAAGTATTAATAATAATAATAACCGGAAACAATGGCAACAAAAAAAGATCGGACGGCAATTGGCAGCCGACGGAAAAAGTGGTCACCACAAACACTCTGGTAATGATTACAAGTCAATCATCAGAGGACTGGACACTAGCAAAGTGTTGCCGCCGTCGTCGTGGGTGGAAGTGATGGCCACTATTAGACAACTGGTGAGATCGTGTGGTCAGACCAGTGACAGTGACCGACGATATGGTCAAATGGGTTGACCCAACTAAACAATTTTGACCGACAGCTACCGGTTGTACGACAAACGTGTTGGTAACGATAGGGTCTGTTGAGGCCAATCGCCAGTTGGCTTACGGCCGCCGATAAGTGTATGTCAATACTGGCGGCGGAGGCAGCGATATGGTGGTGACAACAGCACCGGTAGTATGAAATGTCTACTTAGTATTAATAGTTAAAAAATTAGTAATTAAAAATAAATAAATAACAATTTACCAGAAAATTCAATAATTACTGTTACTTTATTAGAAAATCAAAAGTTATTTATTAATTATCTTTTTATATTTTTATGTTATGTTTCAAACATTTTAAATACATTTTTAAAACTTATATATATATATATATATTTTATAAATATTAGTTTTAATTAAATATCAGCGTCATTATTGTCATCACTTTCATCATCACTATCGTTATAATCAAATAGTTTACATTTAGCTGACCAGTGTTCAAATTGAACCTGTTCATTATCAGTAATATCATCCAAACATAGCCAACAAAAATGTACCATGCACATTTTACATTGCATATGATTGCAGCCATCAATTTTCTAATTTTAAGATAAACACAACAATAAATATTTTCAAAAACAAAAATAAATAAATAAAATTATTATATATTTATTTCAATAAAATTATTATATATTTATTTCAATAAAATTATTATATATTTATTTCAATAAAATTATTATATATTTATTTCAATAAAATTATTATATATTTATTTCAATAAAATTATTATATATTTATTTCAATAAAATTATTATATATTTATTTCAATAAAATTATTATATATTTATTTCAATAAAATTATTATATATTTATTTCAATAAAATTATTATATATTTATTATAAAAAAAATTATACTATATTTCTAACAAATAAAATACTATTTAATTTTTATTTTAGATATAATTGACACTAACCTCACACCGTATCCGACATTTGGGACACTGTTTGAAATGCGTGCGAATAAACTCTTCTGATTCGCGATTTTCGACCGCGTGTTGCCGTTTAACCCGATCGTCGTTGACCTCAATGCACGTGCGTTGCCGGCCATGATATTTACGGCTACAACCCGTGCAAAACGCGTAATCGCAATCCAGACAATAGCCATACATACGGTTGGTGTCGATCTCAACCGAATCGTTACATTTGGGACAATAGGCCTATTATAACAAATATATATATATATAATAATAATAATAATAATAATAATAATATATTTACAAATATATATATATAATTACCATATCATCCATAGTATCTACAGTTTTCTTGACCAACAGTTTATAATATCTGACCAGCGATTTACGGCTCAACAGTCGACATATCAACTCATACGATGCCTTACTGTTGCATCGCTGGTTGTCGGGACAGTTGATATTATCTATCCAACCATCAGCTATCTTACTGTCCAAATACTGGGCCAAACATACCCGACAAAACACGTGTCGACAGTTGCGGGCAAACTGTTGGCATTTGTTTTTCGCTATATCTGTCAAACATAGCTTACAGTAGACAACTGTTCAATAAAATAATAATAATTATTAATTAATTACTTAAAAATTATTAAAATATAAGTTATAATAAGTCACCAAATTTATACTTTTTATAATTTTTAATTATTCATATTATTATTATTACCGTTATTTTGATGCATTTGGTGATCATATTGTTTACATGTAATACCCTGTCGTTTGGCTGCCATAATCAATGCCTGTTTATCGTCGACAGTGTTGGCCGTCACCACTAATGACAATTTTCGGTAGTTTTCTCTGTTTATCAAACGACTAGACTTTACTGACAAAATCATATGACTATCGACTGTATTGTCTGACCAATTGTCTACCACTTCCCTGAAAGTGGCGGTCAGTGATAGACTATCGGCTTCCGATACTATCGGATCGTAATTTGGACAATAGATACGAAATCGGCGCTCCTGTAGATCACTGTTATCGCTATCATTATTATTATTATAATTATCTGACTGTTCCAACGATACTGATGGACGATCAACTCTATGGTCATTTTGATTATCATTGACTACCGTTTCGGCTACCTGTGCTTGACCATCACCATCACCATCACCATCACCATCACCATCACCATCACCATCACCATCACCATCACCATCACCATCACCATCACCATCACCATCACCATCACCATCACCATCACCATCACCATCACCATCACCATCACCATCACCATCACCATCACCATCACCATCACCATCACCATCACCATCACCATCACCATCACCATCACCATCACCATCACCATCACCATCACCATCACCATCACCATCACCATCACCATCACCATCACCATCACCATCACCATCACCATCACCATCACCATCACCATCACCATCACCATCACCATCACCATCACCATCACCATCACCATCACCATCACCATCACCATCACCATCACCATCACCATCACCATCACCATCACCAAGGTCGCCATAACGTCTACATACATACACACACATACAGTATATATATATACACATAGATATCAGTGATAATAAATTATTAATTACTACTTAAAATTTATATTATTATGAAATACAATATAAATTATACATTACAACTTTTAAAAAAATACCATACAATTTGTTAGTTTGGACGTTCAATGATGATGTCACCTGGTCGATCAATAAGTCAACTATATCGATTAGATCATTTAGGGCTGTATAATAATCATAATAATTTTGATTGAAATTATCAATATAGGATAATATATTGTGTTCAATTGCCAAATTGTTTGTTGGTTTAAACAGATTTCTAATGTCAACTAATGTATGATTAAAATCATTGGTTAACACTTCAAAGTGAAACGGTTGGCCACAGTTTTTCAGGCAAGCATCTAAAAGCTAAATAAAACATACATAAAAATAGTTAATGTTTTGTTTGTTTGTTTGTTATTTAAAATTATTTTTATTTATAAAATATCTGATATACTGTACATTAAGTGCCGCTAATTTAACGGTAAGGTCATCGTTATATAACATCATATCTTCAATAGCTTTAATAGCGTACTTTGACCTTTGAAATAAAATATGGCGACACATTTTTTTAATAGTAATTTTATTGGTATAATATTTTTTTAAACAAAAAAAACATTTTTAAAATTTTGAAATAATGTATTTTATATATATATATATATATATTACTATTTTTTACTTACTTGACATTTTTGTTGTTGATTGTATCACATATCTGATCAATGATATCCATATTGTCCTCAATTGTTAACATAGCTAATCAATAATAATATAATAATAATTAATTAATAATATTTGTTTTATTTCGGTATAAATTAATTAATTACTTAATAAGCGATTAAATTTTGGCAAATAATACAAATTTGTCAATTGACGCTTGGTCTTATTGTAATATTTTTTAAACTTTAATTTTTTAAATAAAAAACTCATGTTTTATTATTTTTCAACAACAACAAAATAAAAAAAAATCAATGTTACACTAATAAAAATAATAATAAAATGAAATAATAAGTTATCAATATAACAATAGACTGTAATAACTCATAAAAAAAATTATTTAATTAATTACGTATTAAATGGTATAACGTTTTTTTTATTATCTATTATTACACTATTTTTTATTGTTAATAAGTTTCCTTTAAAAAAATATTTATAAGTTTAATTGAGATTATAATAATATCAAATATACTTATTATTAATAGTATTACACCATTTAATAATAAAATTAGTTTATAGAAATTATTTAATAACAAAAATAAAACACAATTAATTTAATAAAATATTTATATTATTGAACAAATATTACGTGTTTTATTATAATTTGCTAATATAATGTATTTATTTGATTTTTTAATATTTCATATTAAAAAACTAAGTAATTTTTGTTGTTGTTAAATTACTTATTTTACTTTATCGTATATAAATAAAATAGATATGATAAATAAGTAAACAGTTAATATTATTTTGATAAAATAATGTATAAGTATATAAATTCATTATATATATATATTAAAAATGTGCAAATTATATGATAATATTAAATATATGATAAAATTTTAACTCTTTATTACATTCAGGTGTTTGAATGAATAATAAAATAGTTATTTTGAAATTTATATTTATATAAATAAATAAACTAATTGAAACTAAAATTATTTCAAAAATAGTAAAAAAAAACTTATCATTAAAAAAATGATAAAATTATTTTAATCATAATTATTGGCAAACTGTAAAAATCATATATTAGAAAAAGATGATTATATTAAAATTTAAATATATTATTATTAGATACTCTAGAAACTCGAAATTTTAATTATTTTATAAATTAATATATATATAATTCAAATAAATTTTTACTTATAATTATGATATATTAATTAATTTTATTATCATATTATTAATATACATGTATACATAATATAATGTACATGTAATGTAAATAATAATACTGTAAATAATTAGTTAATTGTTAGTAAAATTAATGATCAAACTGTAAGTATTATTCATTAAAAATAATAACAAATACATGTCAAAACTCAAAAGTATAACTTTATATAAATGACATAATAATCTATTAATTCAAAATAACTATAAATAAATTCATTTAATTTTATAATATTAAATATATTACATATTATATGTTTATTTAATTAGAGAGATAAAATTTTTATATTTATTAATTAAAATTTACTTATACTAATATAAAAATAATAATGATGTTTTAAAATTTTCAAAATAACTGTAATTTAATAATTTTAATATAAAATAGATATAATAATTTTGTTAAAAATATTATTTTAGCTAGGGTGTACTACAATTTCATTTAAAAAACACTTCACTTTTTTTAAAATTATTTTTTAAAAACAATTTTATTTGATATCAATAAAATATAAAAGTAAATAAATATTTTTTATATTAATCATTATTGTAATAATTATTATTATATTATTTTAATAAAACATTTGTTGATTTTTTTAAATATAAATATAAATATATATTATAAATGAATACTTTATAAATATAAAATTAAAAAAAAATAATATTTAATTTATTATACATTTTATTACTTAATATTGTTGTTTTATAATACCGTTGTCTACAGTAAACACTGCTGAATATTTAGGATAATGTCCACCATTTGCTTCATTATATTGTTGCGGTTGGTGTACATAACCAGATGATGGGTTGGCATAATAATCATTAGTACCAATACTAGCACCAGCACCAGGAGCACCATGACCCATACTTGCATAACTACTATAGCCAGCACCTGCACCACCACCAGCACCATCATTATGTTGAACATGATATTGATAATTAAAATTGATATTGCCGCCATTATTATTATTATTATCATGGTAATTATTATTGTTATTAGTAGTTCCACTATCTTTATTTAGTCGTCCACCATATCCATAATCTATATTATCACTATTATATGGACGACCGTTATCTTTACCATCCATGTCCTCCCTGTGCTCGTCAGCCTTATGTACTTTAGTAACCACTTCCTCCTTAACCGGTTTGATTACTTGAATAACTTTACGTTTCGGTTTAATCATTTCCCGTAGCTCCTGTACCACTGGCTTATACACTGTATGATGCAATACATGCGGTTCATCTATTGATTTCGACTTTTTATATACCGGTTCCCTGGGCTTATGTTTCTGATCCACGTGTACTGGCGATGTTTCGCTCATGAATGTCATATGAACTGGCTGATTTTCATAGGGTACCTTAACCAATGATTGATGATGATCCTGATGATTTTTATATACCAGATTCACTTCCGTACGTTCCATATGGGCTACCGGTGCCCCGTATAACATGTCGTAGCTGGTATGTCCGTAAATGGCCAGACATGTGTGCACTATACATGATAGTACTAGTATCTGTGTGATGGGGGGGGGGTGACAGTATAAATAAGTTTGAAAAATATGTATATATACTATAGTTAGTTAAAGTTATATATATTATTATTATTATTATTAAGAAATTAATTAAGTTTTTATTATTAGTTATTTAATAATGTAATAAATTTTATTAGAATTTATAATTAAAATAAATTAACAAAAAATAAACTATTAGTAAACTGTAAATATTGTCTATTAAGTTAATATTAATATATTTAAGTTTAATATAATACTTTTTTAGGGCTACTATCAACACTCTATAAGTTTACATTTTAATTATTTTATAAACATACTTTTAAATATTTATTTTAAAAAATATAATCATAATCTAACTAAATTTATTATTAAATTTTTTATACAATTATATTATTACTATAATTCAACTTAAAATAATTAATAAAATACAAATATTAATATTTTTTTTATTAAATATTATTATTTATGAATAAACTGTAAATAATATTCAGTAATTAAATATATTAAAGATTATTTGTATTATTAATCGTTACAATGATATAAATAGATAACTACTCAAACCTTTTGCATTATTATTTAACCAAAAAATAATTTATATATCTATTGAATTATAGATGAAAATTATTTCAAATCAGATTTTCACAAATTATATAAAAACTTAGTATTATAATAACTTATTATTATTAAATGATTTATACATACATTTACAAACACATAAACATTACACATAAACATATAAAGCGAAAGTAAAATAATTTACTGATCAATAATAATAATTAACACAATCATCAAAATAACATATTATTATTATTATTACAAAAAAACAATAAAAACAAATAGGAAATCATTTACTATGAAATTATTATAAATATTAAAATTATTATATTTACACTATATATTAAAATTAGAAATTATTATATAAGACATAAATAAATATATATGATATTTAAATACATTGAACTTTTCACAGTTTACACACCCAACCAATTGATTTGTTTTAAGTTAGCATAAAATAATATTATTAATATTATTAATAAAAAATAAATTAATTTAATTGAGTAATTAATCTGATATTATATCATAACGTGTTTTTAATGCCCTTTAGTCTCTCTCTCTCTCTCTCTCTCTCTCTCTCTCTCTCTCTCTCTCTCTCTCTCTCTCTCTCTCTATCATAATATATGTCTATCGTATGTCTAGTCTATCCTCAAGCTATACATTAGATTAAAAAATATCTAAACAAAAATATGGGTCAAATAACGGTAGAAAGTTATTTATAAGTTAACTATTTGTATATTTTAGAAAAAGTATTAATTTATTAATAATTATTAATTTTAGAAAAAATTATAGTTTTTTTTAATTAATTTAATTTAATTATTTGAAAAATAATAAATTTCAAAATATTTTTTTAAAATTGTTATGGTCCATGTTATAGGTCATAATTTTTATATTATAAAATATTTTAGTTAATAATATCTAATTTTTGTTTTATGTACAGTTTAATGTTATTAAATACTGTATTTTATTATTTATATTTTATTTAGGTATTACACAAATACAAAATCATATTTATGAATATTATTATTATTACATAAATTAATTGTTAATAAAAAAAATACAAAATGAATATAGAATTTATTTCAATATATTTATAAAAAAATAATTGTATATTATTTTATAATAATAATAATAACAAAAATATTTTAATTTAGTTTTTTTATTAATATATAAAATCGTAAGCAAACAAAACGCATTCCGATAGATAATGCCTGTCATAGACTTGTTTATCGCTAACATCAGTTAGACATAGCCAACAAAATTGAACATGGCAATTTTTACATATAACATGATTGCAACCTTCATCTTTCTACATTTTTTTAAAAAACAAAATAAAATTAAAAAATATTTTTTTAAAATGATAATTAAAAAAATATGATATATATATATATTAATAGTTTACTAAATTATAACTAATGAATAGTTACTTAACTAAAAGTAAAAAAAAACAAACAAACAAAATATTTTTTTTACTCATAATAAATAATAAATTGTTTATATATTTTTAATAATTATTTGAACTGTATATTATAGATTAGATTTTTTTAGTTAGCCTTAATATATCAATATTTATCAATATATATATATATTATAAATACATTATATGACAAATATATTTTGTAAATATATATTGCCTTCTAATATATAAAATTATTTAAAAAATATTATTTATATTATAATAATAACCTTAATATAATAATATACTGTATACTTTTTTTTGTGTATACATTTAGTAAGTTAGATAAATAATTTAAACATATATTTAAAAAATGAACTTAAAATTTAAATATATATTTTTTTGTTGTGTTAAAAAAAATAATAATTTCAATAATAATAATAATTACATCGCACGGTGAGCTACATTGGGGACACTGTTTGAAATTGGCGTTAATAAACAGTTCCGACTCATGATTTTCGGCCTCACGTTGCCGACGACTTTCCTCATCATCGTTGTTAACACAATCGGTCGCACCGTGATATACCTGTCCACAGCTCGTACAAAATGCATAGTCGCACGTATAACAGTAGGCCAAACACGTGCCTGAATCAAACTCAACAGGCAGATTGCATGTTGGACAATTTATCTAATTAAAAAACAGGGGGGGGGGTCAATAAAAAAATTTAGCTAGTTAATTTTTTCTAATTAGTTATATGTTAATGCTAAAATCATAATCAATTAATTATGTTATATTAATATTAATTTTTGTATAATTTATTTAATTTTTTTGAAAAAATAAATTATTTAATATGTGATAAATATAATTGATAATTAATAATTTATTTTATAAGTTTGATTATGCTATTAATAGATAATAAAAAATAAATTATTAGTATTTTTTTATTAAAAAAAATATTGTAAAACTGTAAATATTTAAAAAAAATATATTATGTATTATATGATAATTAATTATAAATTATTATATTAGAATAGAAACACAGCAGCTTATTTTATAATTAATTATAATTAATATTTTTAAAATATAAGTTTAACACTTAATTTTATTAAAAAAAATTAATATTTGCCATATATTTAGTTATTAACATTATAAGTTACTATTATTATTATTATTATTATAATTACCACATTATCCAGGTGCTCGACATTTTTCTTCAACAATAGCTCATCATAGCGTACTAGTAGATCGGGATCCAGGAGCTCACGGATCAATTGATGTGAGGCTTCGACACTACATTGACTATCCAGACTATCACCAACACCTGATGGACACTTTATATTTAGTACAATACCATCACTGATTTTTTGGGCCAAAAATTGACCAAGACACACCCGACAAAATAGGTGCTGACATTGGCCAAATTCACGAAAATCAGCTAGCTGCTTTTCATCCAGACACAGTGCACATGTTATTTCTAGTTTATTTATAATTTTAATTAAAAAAAACAAATAAAACTAGCTAGTTAATTTATTGTTTAATTTAAATATGATATTTACCTGTAATATTTTGTTGTTGTACTGGCAATTGTATTGATGATGATGATGATGACGGTGATGATGATGCTACTTGAGGTTGTTCATGATGATAGATTTCATCAATGAGCTGGTACACTTCATCGATTGTCGATTGATCAAATAGATTATCTAAATTATCATCATCATCATTTTTGTTGCCATCATCATCAGCATCGTCATCATCATCATCAGTATCACTAGTGTCGTTGTCATCATCATCACTACTACTACTACTACTACTATCATCATTGTTATCATTGTTATTATTATTATTATTATTATTATTAGCATAGTCATCAATAAGTTGATCAATTAATATTGTTTCATCATTATTAAATAAATTACTTAAATTATAATCATCGGTATCATTATTATCATTATCATCAATTTGTTGATCAATTGATATGTCATTATTATAATTATTATCAAATAAATTATTTAAATTATAATAATCATCGTCATCATCATTGCCATCATCGACATCATTATGATTATCATTATTATTGTCGGCATTTTGTCTAAATTGTTCAATTGATTCATCCAATCTATTTTGATTGACAATAGCGTCAAATATTTCCTGATCAACAAATGTATCCAGGTCACTATCATCTATATATTAGTAAATATTATTTAATTGTAAATAAATATATTTATTTATGTTTTTGATAATTTGTTAAAGTTTAATTTTAATATATATATATATACATACAAAAATTATTTAATAATATTGTATTATATTAAACAACAACAACAACAATAACAAAATTACCTTGATCACTTGTTGATCCATTATCATTAACAATACTATCATTGGCTAACAATCGGCTATTGTTTAGTGCTATAAATAAATCATTTTCCTCTTCAAAATCTGCTATTTAAAAAAAATTATTTTAATAATAATTGTAATATAAATCAGATAAATTATCTAGATAATTTTTTTTAATTACTAACATGTCTCCAAACTCATCAATTGAACTGCACGTAATAGTTTTTCATCATAATCATCTTGATAATTATTAGTTTGTGACATTTTAATAATTATTATTATTAATTTAGTATTTAATTATTTATTATAAATAATATTATCATTGATTAGTATAGTGACATTGATATATAAATTCAAACAAACAAAATAAATAATTATTTGTTGATAACAAATAGTTATTTTTAAAAAATAAAGTTTTAATAAAAATAGTGAAAATGTTATTTTTTTAAACAATATTAGACACCATTATTTAACTAATGTTTTTTGTATTTAGTTATGTATTCAAAAAAAACACAGCAAGTATTGCATTATTAATAAAATATATAATTTTAAACGTAATATATTTATTTATATATAATAATAATAAAAACATTATATCATATCAATAATATGATATCAATTTTCCGTTTTTGTAATATCATTGAATATATATTGTACAGTATATTACTTGTACATTATTATCAAAAATAAAAACATTCAATTAATACTTTATATATTGCAATAAAGTTTAGTAATAATAATATAAAATTTACACAATTAAACAAATTAGATTTGAATTTAAATAAATAAAATAAAGTTTTAAAGTTTTTTAGACTACTATTTTTAAAAACAAAACATTTTTTAGGATACTTTTTTTTTAAAAAAAATAGTTAATTTAAATATCATAAATAAATTAATAAACTTTGCTTGGAATTTAAAATATATGTATTTTTTCAATAAGAAAAACAAAACAAAAATAAATATTTATTTATTTTTTTAATAAAGCATTTTATTTTCAATACTAATAGTTAAAATAAAATAAGTTAATAAAACTATTTAGTTTAATAATAAAATTTTATTAAAAAAAAACATAAAAGTATATTATTAACAAATATGTTGTTTTTTATTTGTTATTTTTTAATGAAATGCAACAAAAATTTTAAAAAAATGAAAGTCTATAACAATATACACCAAACTATAGATATGAGTATTAGTTAATCTCTCTATAGTTTTATATATTATAAAGAATTATTAGTTAGAAAATTATTATTATTATTATTATTATTATTATTATTATTATTATTATTATTATTATTATTATTATTATTATTATTATTATTATTATTATTATTATTATTATTATTATTATTATTATTATTATTATTATTATTATTATTATTATTATTATTATTATTATTTTAAAAACTATGATAACATATTAATTAATCATTTTATTCTAATGCAATAATTTATATTATATTTATCATATAATATATATCATTTTATAGTTATATCATAATAGTTTTCATAATATAATAATTGTATACGGTATATCAAGTATAATAAAGTAACATTAATGTACATGTAATTAATATAATAGATAATAAAGTTTCAATATAAATGTTTAATATTGTTTATTTTTAAGTATTTTTAAGTATATTTAACTATGTTATTTTTATTATTATAATAATTAGTTTTTTAAAAATAAAAAATGTCAAAATCAAATCGAAAGTTAAATACAAATAGAGGTTTGCTTAATAATTATTAATATAAAAAATTATTATTATTAACTTTAAATAAATCTATTTTAAATTAAAAAAAAATAATAATATATATTATTTCTTAAAATACATAATTAAATAATTTTTAATATATTTGTTAGAGTATTATAATTATAATAATTAGTTAATTCATTATAATTATAATAATTAGTTAATTTATTTAATTATAATTATAATAATTAGTTAATTTATTTAATTATAATTATAATAATTAGTTAATTTATTTATATATTATTATAATAATTAGTTAATTAATTTAGCAGTTCAGCTCAGCGATGATAGTTTAAATCAAATAATCGATGAAGAGTTTATTAACAGGTTAACAATTAATAATAATAAAAAAATTATTAATTAAAAAATTATTTATTTATTTATTTATTTTTTTTGGTAGAAATCCAAGTCATTTATCATATGGAAAAACTTTGGCTAAAACTAAATGTCCAACAAAAACAACAACAACGACAGGTAATTATTATTTTTACTAATTAATTATAATAATAATATTAATTTTTATAATTTATAATAATTAATATTTTTGTTGTTGAAATAAGCTTCAAATGATAATAATAATAAAAAAAGTGAGACATTTGTTAATGATTGTCTATTGGCCGATACTATTGCCGGAAGCAGTCGACAACAACAACATACAGGTGCCATACCTAAGCTAGCGATGGAATCGCCGTCTACTACCACTAATAATAATAAGAGACAGTCCAGGCCATCAATTAGTCAAAAACATTGCATACCTATGTTTGGTAATAGGACTACAATGACTTACAATACTGATGATGATAATGATCCACAATTGTTAGAAGCCATCAAATTAAGCAATCAATTAGAGGAGGAAAGCATAAAAAGTAAAATATAAATAATTAAATATTTAAATATATATATATACAGTATATTATTTTAATATATTGTATTTTAATATAAAGCAGATTTATTATTTAGTATTTTATTAATTATATGATTACCGGTAATATAAAACTAATGTTATGTTTATTTGTTTGTATGTTTTTTTTTAATTATCAGATTTAGAACTGGATAGTAATAATAATGAAAATAATCAAGATAGTTTATTGGCTGGACAGATTAAAATGGAGCTAGACAAATTGAGCAAACAAATAGTTAAGCTAGAAACTAACTTTGATAATAAAAATAATGATAATAATAATAATAATAATAATAAAGTAGATAATGATAATAAAAAATTAGTGAAAACACTTGAGGAAAATAATAAATTATTGAAACAATTGAATAAATTAGAGACACGTCATGCAAATGATAAGCGTGTTTGGACTAAATTGATGGCTGAACTAACCGATAGATATGAGAAGCTATTGAAACAATCAAAACAGGATAATAATAATAATAATAATAATGCCCAAATATTGTTGGACAAACAAATAGATGATAAACAAAATGAGCGAGATAAATCTGAAAATCAATTACATATCTATAAAATTAAATATACCAGGTCAATGGATGAAAATACAAAACTGTTAAGACGTTTCAATGAATCGGATGCCCGGCACCAGTTAGACAAACAGGAATGGCATCGATCGGTAGCTGAGCTCCGGGAGAAATATGAGATACTGGAGTACGAGTCCAAACTTGATAAGTCAATGATCGAAATGCTTAGACGACAACTGTGCCAACGGACCGGTGCTATTGGTGGTAGTAGTAGTATACCACATGGGTTTGGTACAGGTATTCCTAGACCTGGAACCGGTATCCAAGCTTCCAATTCAGGATGGAAACCATTTTAATTAATAACAGGTTGTTAATTACTAAATATCGACCTGGATAAACTGTCAAAAAGTTTTACTATAAACCAAATAAATTATATATATATATATATATTGAATGTGATAGTGATAATTAGATTGCTAATAATAATAGTAATAATAATTAAAATATTTAAATAATAAAATCAATTTGAATAATTTAGTTTTTTTAGAAAAATTACTTTTAAAAGTAATTTTCATAATTCTTGAATTAGATAAAATTATAATCATTTTTTTGTTGTTTAATTTTTGTCATTTTAATAATATATATTATAATTAAATAATTATAGTTTTTTTTAAATAATTTAATAATGTATTATTATTATTATTAGCTAGTACAGTATTTAATTAAATTGAGGTCTAGTATTATATTAAGAATAATTTATTTAATCATTAAAATAAATATACATTAAGTGTTGCATAATATTAAAAGTCTAATATTACAAATACATATTATATAATTAATATTTCTCAAATATACAATACAGTAAATTATTTGTATATATATTTTTTAGTAAATAAACAAAATTCATAAATATTTTTTATACAACATATTTGATTTTTTTCATTACCAATATTATAATAAATAAAATTAAACTAATATACTGTATATAAATTACAGTAATATTGAAATAGATAAATAGTTTTAATCACTTATATCAGGTATACATATATATATATTTTTTTTATTAGTTAAATGCAAATTAATATTGAAAGTCTAGTCATTCAGTATAAAAAACTGTAGATATACTGTATATGAGTAACGTTTAATTTAATATTTATATAGCAAATAAAAATTATGGTATCATTTATATGAAAAAATTAATTATTTAATTATAACAAAACACATTACACACAAAACACATTATAACAAATACATAGTATTCTATAATGTAAATAGACATAAAATACAGTATTTGTTTTGTTTAAGTATTTTATTTAGAAAAAGTTTTTTTAAATAAATAAATACAATGATGAAAAAATATTATTATTATTATTATTATTCAATATTATTAGCTGAAAATCATGTCAACAAAAACTACTAATGGTTTGTATTTTTTGTTTTGTGAAAATATCTAGTAATACATTAATAGTTTGCTATGTTATATAACCAACAAATATTACTAATATTAAAAATATTTTTTTTGTTTAAAACAGGTGCCATACCTAAGCTGTCATATTTGTCGGTAATCGCTGATAACTACCACTACTACTACTATGGGACAGTCAGAGTCAGCAAATAATAATAATAATAATACTGACAGTCAAGTGCTTGAGGCCATCATTTTAAGCAAACTAGAAGATGAGGAACTCATAAAAAGTAAATTTTTAAAATATTAATAATATTGATTATTATTATTAGTGTTTAGTTGTTTTAATATTCAAGTAATCTATTATTATTATTGTTATTATTAAACAATCGAGCGCTGTCAACTAGTGGAGCTCCGGGAGTGTAAAAAATGGGACCTACGAGAGGCACTGGTCAATATAGTTACCGGCACCGATATGTCACACCAAAACTTGCTAGACTTGAAAACACTACTAATAGACTATGAACGAGACAGTGGACAGTCGATATACGATGGCTACGATATCAGTCAGTTCCTACTCAATACAGTCAACGATGTGTCCAAACTGGTACTGTGTGTAATCCGGGCACTGGGAGGTCAGCTATCGATGCGAGACATAGACTCATATTTTGCCGATCATTTGGTCTGTATTTGTATGAAATATGAGAATAAAAAACAATCATCGATGATACTCTATGACCCGACTGTCCATCAACTGGATCCAGAAGCTCAGTTGACACACCAGACAGTCGACGATAGACTGGTATGCGTTCGTATCCAACGCGACAGTAATTGTTTGTGGAGTGCTGTTAGCCTATCAATACACGGTTCGGATAAATATATGGAATCCCTGCGCCTGTTGACAGCATCGACACTATTGGACTATAGACAGTCGTTTGAAAAGTCATACAAATCGTCGGACATTACCTACGATGAACTCGTTGACAAAGCGGTAACACTTGGGGAATGGGATCACGAGCTGCACATACAGGCACTGTCGCTGGCATTGCACCGACCTATCTATATGTATAGTTCGTTTGGATCGCTGGTCGAACCCTATCGGCAGACCTATGATCAGCTCCGGGAGTCGTACGAATCGATGTTTGTCTACTATCATATGAGATTTTTAGCTGATAGTAGCTGTAAGGATGAGATACCGGTGCTGTTGTATTATAACGGTTTCGGTCACTACAGTCCTATACTGGTTAAGCGTGAAGATGTTTGGCCATTGAAGCCGTTCACTGAGATTATGAAACCAATGTTTTAATAATTTAATTACTAATAAATTTTATTATAAAACTATATACTAAAAATCTAAAATAAGTAAAAAATAAATAAATAAAATAAAACTATAAAACTATAAAATTTTTAAAATACTAAATCTAATGTATTATTATTGTGAATTAATTAATATTTAATAATAATTTTTTTTAAATTATGTAATCACTATAATATATTATTTTTCAGTTATTAAATATCATTTTATAATTATTATTGTAATTTTTATTTAAATTAAAATTATTTTTTAAGAATATACTACTGTATTGCAATAAAGTTTAATAGTAATAATAATAATAATGAAAATTTCTATAAATTTATTAATTTATAAAAATAAATATATAAATTTTGATCTACGATTAAATTAGTATTAAATAATTATAATAAAAATATAAGTAATTAATATTAAAATTATTTTCTATCTATTACCTGTTAATTAAGTTGTATTTCTAATATATATAAATATTAATATATTTTTAATCTATTTTTTATAAATTAAACAAAATTTTATCGCGTATTTGATTTTCAATAAAATATTAATGTATTAAATTAATTATCTAATAGACTAATAGTTTTAATGAAGTGCTTATAATAAAAAAAAAGTCTACTTATAATTTAAATAACAAAAAATATTTGTAATATAATATCGTATCTTTATGTTTATATTAAATATAGTTATTTATTGTAATAAAAACTATGATATCATTTATAGATAAATAAAAATTGCACTATTATTATCTAACAATTTATTTATTATCATTTAGTAAACTATTTTTATTAAAGTAAGACTAGTACTTTAATGTATTTAATGTTTGTATATTTTTGTTTGTTTGATTATTTTAACAATTAAAATTTTAAAATAAAAAAATAATAATAATAAATTCAATGCTCATATAATAAATATTACAATTAGTTAAACAAAATGGAAAATTTAAGCGAAAAGTCAAAGAAAACTAACAAAGGTTTGTCTTAAAAAAATGATTTTATAATTAGTATTATTTATTTTATTTTTAAATCAACAAATGTTAATATAAAATACTATTTATATATTTTGATAACTGTTTATATAATAGTAACACAGAAAATAAAAACAGGTGCCATACCTAAGCGGTCATATAGTATAGCATATACATCCTTAATTTTGGGTGATAGTCATAATGATTACCCTAATAATAATAATAATAATAATACCATTGATGATAACGATAATAATGACCTACTGATGCGAGAGGCCATTAAGTTAAGCAAACTAGTAGAGGAGGAACGGCTAAAAAGTATTTAAATCAAAAAAAATATATATAATAATAATTTTTGCTATTAGTAAAAATAATATTTTTGTTAATTATTATTAATTATTTTCATATATATATATATATATATATAATAGAATTAGAACATGAGCGCCGTCAACTAGAGGAGCTCCGGGAGCGACAAAAATAGGATCTACGAGAGTCACTGGCCACAATAGTTACCGGCACCGATATGCCACATCAAAAATTATTTGATTTGAAAACACTACTAATAGACTATGAACGAGACAGTGGACAGTCGATATACGATGGCTATCAAACCAGACAGTTCAGGAACAGTTCGGTCAACGATATGTCAAAACTGATTCTATGTATTATTAGAGGACTGGGAGGACAGGTATCAATGAATGTGGTGGCCTCGTATTTTGCCGATCATTTGGCCCGTATTTGTTTGGAATTTAATCACAAAAACTACTTGAAATTGTATGACCCAACTGTCCATCGACGTGATCCCGAAGCACAGATGACTCACGAGGCACTGGACGATAAACTAGTATGTGTTCATATCAAAGGTGATGGTAATTGTTTGTGGTCTTCGGTTAGCACTTCTATGTACGGCTCCGATGAATACATGGAATCCCTGCGCCTGTTGACAGCATTAACATTATTAGACTATCGGTCAAGTTTTGAAAAGTTATACAAATCGGACATACCCTACGATGAACTCATTGAAAAAGCTGTCACACTTCAGGAATTGGGTCACGCGGTGCACATACAGGCTCTGTCGCTGGCACTGCACCGGCCTATCTATATGTACAGTTCATTTGAATCATTGGTCGAACCCTATCGCCAGACCTATGATCAGCTACGGGAGTCGTATGAGTCTAAATCTATTCACAATCATATGAGGTTTTTGGCTGATGGTAGCTATGAGGATAAGGTACCGGTGCTATTGTATTATAATGGTTTAGACCATTACAGTGTTGTAATGCCTAAGCGTGTAGGTGTGCGCCCGTTGAAGCCATACACCGAAATGATGAAAACTATATTTAATAGGAAAGGTTTGGTACTAAATAATTCAAATTATTTTTAATTCAATTAAAAATATATTTATTTTATTTGTTTAGTAAGCATACCGGTGCCTGAGCCGATACCAATTAAACAACATATTGATAAAAGGGTTGAAAATAACAGTAATAATGATGAAAATTTAAATAAAAAGAGTCAAGGTATTTTTTAATACTATCAAAATAAAAAAAATATAATTTTGTTTTTATTTATAATTTTTATTTGCTAACAATTTTTTCTACTGTAGAAATAGATCTAGTTGATTTAACTGCCAGCACTGGTAGCCGTAAAAAGCTTTCAAAAATTATGAAACCCATGCTTAACAGGAAAGGTATGTATTAATACTATATTATCTATCTGTTTATATATCAAATATATTTGCATTAATAATGTTATATATATATATATTATTAGATAACATCAATGACAACATTGTTAACCTAAAACAAACTGTAGTCGAAACTCCAGTGGCCAACTGTGCTGATAATAATAATAATAATAATAATAATACTAACATTTCCGATTGTATTATTGAAAATGGCCAAGATAATCTATTGATTGGTCAATTAAAATTGGAGCTAGACAACATGCGTCAACAAATTGTTAAACTAGAAAATGACCGAGATAATAATAATAATAATAATAATAATAATAATAATAATCAAGTAGATATTGATTATAAAAAATACGTGAAAACACTTGAGGAAAATAATAAACTATTGAAACAATTGAATAAATTAGAGACACGACATGCAAATGATAAGCGTGTTTGGACTAAACTGATGGCTGAACTAACCGATAGATATGAGAAGCTATTGAAACAATCAAAACAGGATAAATAATAATAATCAGACATTTGTTAGACAAACATAAATTATAGTAGAAAACATTTTTGATAAAAAAAATCAATTTCAATAACCAAAATACAATAATATATAGATTATAATAAACTTTAAATATATTTTCATTTTAGAAATCAAATGAAATACTGAAAATTTATTTTAAAAAATATTATTTAGTTTTATTTATGTTTAAAACTTAATATGTATATTTAATTGAAATAACTATAGCATTTTTAAATACTTAATACAGTATTATATTAGTATTAACTTAATATAACTAAATAATTAATTTTTTATTAAAAAAAATATTACACATAATTATTTAACTAATGTTTAGTAGTATATTAAAAACGCTGTAATATTTAATTATTTACAATATATACTAATTGTACTGTAAATATCATATCAATAATATAATATTAATTTAAATTTTTATAATATCAATAATTAATATTACTTTAGAAGTTTATATTATTGTATTATCAAAAATAATAAGACATTTAATACTTTATATTTCAATAATAAATTATACTTTACACAAGTTAAAATTATTTAATTTTAATAAATTAATTAACTAAATAGATAAACTTTAATATTTAATTAAACAAAATAAAAAACTAAATATTTTAAGGTTTATTGATCAAGGTTATATTATTTTATTTGTTATACATATAAAAATAAGTTATATTTTCATCTATATATATATATTAAGTATTATTTTTAAGTAAATAAACAAAATTCATAAATACATTTACTTAAATTTAGTAAATTTGATTTTTACTACTATTATTATAAATTATAATGTATTAATCTATAAATATTGTAATAGACTAATAGTTTTAAGTAATTTAAGTTAACTTATAAATAATATTAGTGATATTTAATATGATATCATTTAAATATATATATATAAGTTAGTCATTTAATTATAATACAACAATTTATTTCTCATATATTATGGATATTATTAGTACAGGTATATGAATATATTAAAACTGTTTTATTTTTTGTTAGTAATATAAGTACATAATAATGTATTTAATATAATAAATATAATTGTTTTTTTAAAATATTTTATATTCAAATTAAAAATAGTGTTATTATTATAACTATTGTTATAATTGATTGATAAAATATGATAAAATAAAATTAAAAAATAAAATAAATGTTTGTTTTTTAAATAATAATAATAATACATTAAAATAGTTGTCTGCTAAATTATTAATATTAAAAAAATTGTATTAATTAATTTGTTTAACCTACAAATAATATTAATGATAATAATAATATCCATATTATAAATATTTAAGCGGGGTCATAATAATAATCGGTTAATCACACTAATGGGACAGCCACAGTCAAAGTCATCAAAACAAAAACATGCAATTAATGCTATGTTATCAATAGTTATTGATGATGACAATCATAATGAATACCCTAATAATAATAATAATAATAATAATAATAATAATACCACCATTGATGACAATGATAATGATGACCCACAGGTGCGAGAGGCCATTAGGCTAAGCAAACTAGAAGAGGAGGAACGCCTAAAAAGTATATTTTTAAAATTGTTTTTTTTGCAAAAGTTCTCATATAATAGTTATCTAGAAATCTATTTAATAAACTTTTTTTTATCAGTAATTAAACTACAGGAGCTCCGGGAAAGCCTAAAATGGGATCTACGCGAGTCACTGGCCACTATAATACTAGGCCAAGATTTGTCACAGCAAAAATTATGGGATATGAAAACATTGTTGTTAAACTATGAACTATCAAGTGGACAGTCGATATATCCGGGCTATCAAATCAAACACATCCGAAACAGTACGGTCAACGACATATCCAAACTGATCATATGTGTAATTCGAGGACTGGGAGGTCAGGTATCGATGAAAGTTGTGGCCACATATTTTGCCGAACATTTAGTACGGATTTGGATGAAATTTCAGTTTAAAAAACAGCTAATACTCTACGATCCAACTGTCCATCGACTGGATCCGGAAGCTCAGATGAATAAGGAGTCGTCGGCACTCAACGATACATTGGTATGCGTTCATATCAATGATAACGGCAACGGTTTGTGGTCTTCGGTTAGCATTTCTATGTACGGCTCCGATGAATACATGGAATCCCTACGGCTGTTGACGGCATCGACATTATTAGACTATCGGCCAAGTTTTGAACAGTCATATCGGACTACTGAATCGGACATAGCCTACGATGAACTAATTTCAAGGGCAGTCACACTTGATGAGTGTGCTCACGAACTTCACATACAGGCCCTATCCCTAGCATTGCAACGGCCTATCTATTTGTATAGTGGTTCGTTTGGATCACTAGTTGAACGTACCTATGATCGGACATATTGCCAAACTTATGATCAGCTCCGGGAGTCGTATGAGTCTGACTTTGTTTACGATCATATGAGATTTTTGGCCGACGGTAATCGTGAGGATGAAATACCGGTGCTGTTGTATTATAACGGTTCGGATCGTTACAGTCCAGTACTGCCTAAGCGTGTGGGTGTGCGACCGTTGAGACCGTACACCGAAATGATGAAACCCATGTTTAATAGGAAAGGTATGTTTTAAGGCAACTATTTTTTTTAGATAAAAATAATATTAATTTTTTCTCTCTATATATTTAATTGCTAATTACAGTTGTACTACACTGTAAACTATGTTTGGATGATATACCCAAAGATAAGTGTCAACAGTTTACCGGATGTCGGCACCAGTTTTGTACGGTTTGTTTGGCCCAGTATTTCGATAGTCAGATAACTGATGGTAGGGTACATCATATCAAATGTCCCGATGACCAGTGCACCGGTAGTAGTGGTAGTGGTGAGGCATCCTATGAATTGGTATGCAAACTGTTGAGCCGTAAATCGCTGGTCAGATATCATAAACTATTGTTGAAAAAAACTGTGGATGTTATGGACGATATGGTATAATTACCATAAATTAAATAATAATATTAAAATTTATCATGCTCATTTATATTTATTTGTTTGTTTAATAATTTTACTTTAATATAATTAGGCCTATTGTCCCAAATGTAACGACTCGGTTGAGATCGATAACAGTAGACGCTATGGCTATTGTCTGGATTGCGATTACGCGTTTTGCACGAGTTGTCATCGCAAATATCATGGCCAACAGCGCACGTGCACTGAGGCACTGGAAGATCAGGTCAACCGCGCGGTCGAAAATCGCGAATCAGTGGACTATATTCGTACGCATTTCAAACAGTGTCCCAAATGTCAGATATGGTGTGAGGTATGAGTTGTTTTTTGTAACTATTTTTTTGTAAATATTTATATAACTGTATAATAATAAAAATATATTAAAATTATTATACAGTAATTGATTTATATATACAGTATTTATTTTTTTTAAAATTATGATTTAATTTATTTTTTACTAGAAAATTGATGGTTGCAATCATATGCAATGTAAAATGTGCATGATACATTTTTGTTGGCTATGTTTGATGGATATTACCGACAATGAGGAAATACAAATTGGACACTGGTCAGCTAATTGTAGACTATTTGATTATGATAATATTGTTGGTTAATAATAATTCTACTAGATTTTAATTATATTAATAAATACATATTACTATTACTAAAATAATAATTATTTATTTATTTATTAAATAATAAAAATTTATTAAAAAATATTTTTTACATACAAAAATATCAATATTGTAATTTATTTTATATATTAATAATTTAATAAATAATTGAAAAAAATCAATTACATAGGATTCTCATCTATTATAATAAGAAAAATTAATTTTAAAACAAAAATTTCGATAACTTTATCTTATTATATAAAAAAATATTACAATAATATTATTTAGAAAAATTGAAATTTAAAATTATTGAAAATCATCTAGCTAATTATATTAATCTATAAGTCAATTTAATATTATAAGTTTTTACAGTTTTTGTTGTTGTTGTTTGTTGTATGAGATATATAAATATATAAATTATAAATACAATATAACAAATATCAATAATGAATATCAATTATAGAAAATGAATAATAATATTATAGTGATATTATTATTATTTTTTAAAAATATTTTTTATATATTTTAGTCAACATTTGTTTGTATGAGTATTACAGCATAGGATAGTATTAGCGATAAACATGTTATTAGTGTTTGTTTATTGATTGCATACAAACTGTTTGCTGTAAAACACATATCACTGGACATTGATTTCAATAGCAATATAATTGTTAGATTTGAATTATCTAATAAATTTACATTGTTGCTAACATTAGCACTATTATTATTATTATTGTGATTATTATAATTATTAGCTAGCTGAAATTTATTTTCTACACTAGCAACTAATGTTTGATATGTATACGGTATAATATTGCATGCAACTATCAAATAGATAAACTGTACTAGACTATCAAATAAGCTAGCTAGGGTACCTGGTTGATTTTGATTGTTACCAAAATATAATTTATTTAAATCGGTAATTAATCTGATAGTCAATATAATGACAACTAGAAAATTATGTTTAGCTAGCAATCTATCCAAACGGTTGACATAGATTTTCAATGAAACACAATATTGATAAACATATTGTATATGATATTTATCTAGATTTTTGCTCAAATAGTTCAATTGCTGGCCAATTATATAGGATTTGTAGGCTATAAGTCCAGTTAATATCATTAACATATTACTTAGTATCCAAAACAATGGCAATATTATCCAAAAATAATTTGTTAGATCTGTATTGCTAAACAAATTAATTGTCATTAATTGATAGCATAGTTGAATACTAGCGGCCAATACTAGTGTAATAACTACTACAGCAATACCAGTACGTGTTTCGCGCCTATCGGACACGTATTGATGATCGCGACCCAGTAGTAACAGGTCAACAATTTGCCGTCCATTGACTACTAGTATACAATAGGTAGAGTATAGTTGAACTATAGTACCCATGGATGCACAGGTATGTAATAATCTTAGTAATTGTGATTTTGTTGAACGAAATTTTAATATTTCAAAATTAAATAAACTAATCGATAGATCAGTGTAGATGACAGCCGTCATAAAACCCATGACCAGTAGATTTGTTAAAAATTTTATAATGATTTTCAAATTTATTTTAAATTTATTGCTTGAATTATTATTAGTAGTATTAGTGTTATTATAATAATTATTATTATTAATATGATATCCTAAATAAATGCTGCCACTATAGTTGATGTATTTAATCAATATAATTAAGCCATTATTATTTTTATACATTTTTTTTTTGTTTTAATTAATTTTTTTTCCAAAACAATAAGATTAACTCACATTATATTCACTACTAAAATACAAATATATATATATATATAATAAAAATATGAATTAATTTTATTATCTAGTTTATTATCTAGTATACAGTACTAGAAAGTACAGCTTTTAGGTTTAAAAATAAAAATAATTGTATTTTTTGTCATAAATATTTATTAATAAATATTTATTGATTTTGAAAAATCAATTGTTTTATTTAGTAAAATGTTTACATGAAAATATTATTATTATTATAATACAGTAGTAAAACAACTAAATAAACAAATTCAACATTTTATTTAAGTATTAATAATAATATTTTATTATTTTTATAATTTATTAATTTAAATCAAGTTGCAAATAATAAATTTAAAAAAAAATTATATATTAATATAAAATAGAGTCAATTTATAGATATTATTTTAGCAAAAATTTTATTGATTTAATTATAAAATTATTTATAATAAATAAAACAAATATTTAATTATTTAGTTTACAATGTGATTACTATTGGCAACAAATCCTAATAAAATTATTTATACAGTACTTAATACTGTATTTATAAATGGCATTAAAAATAATAATTTTATTATTTTTATTTATTTTATTTTATTTGTATAACTTAGAAACAACGATTATAATTATAATAATGCATTTTCTAGCAATTATATTTTTACTAAATATTTTTAAAATTAATTTTTTAACATAATATATATTAGTTTAAAAACATTGTTTATTTAAGCAAAAATTATTGCGTTATTAATAAACTAAATTGTAAACGTCATGTAATTTATTTTATATATATATTGATAATAATAACAATAAAAACTTTATATCATATATTAAATAATATGATAACAATTTTCCGCTTTAGTAATATCATTGAATATTATACAGTATATACTCTATAGTGTACTGTATTATCAAAAAATAAAACATAAAAATTTAATACTTTATATTGCAATAAAGTTAAGCAATAATAGAAATTTTTTTATATACTTTATACACAATTACACAAATTAGGTAATTTAAATAAATTAAATAAACTTTTAATGTTTTTTTAGACTACTATTTTTTAAAACAAAAAAAAAGCAAAACATTTTTTTAGGATACTTTATCAAGGTTATATTGTTTTTTTAACATGTTTTATATATTATGTAATTTATATATTCAATATATTATGTTTTATTTATGTATTTTTATTAGTAAATAAATAAAACTCATAATTTATAATATTTTTTTACAACGTATTTGTTTTTCATTACCAATAATATACTACTAATAGACTAATAGTTTTTAATAATTTAATTAATTAATTTTCATAATAACAATTATAAGTGTTTTTATATCAGCAAATATGTTGTAGTTTTTATACTGTATGTTATTTATAAGTGAAATGCAAATAATAATAATGAATGTCTACATATAATATATATAAAAAACAAGATATTATTGACATTTTATAATATGATATCTATATATTAAATAAAAACTATGATATCATATATTTTTTTTTTAAATTTAGTCATTTTATTATAATGCAATAATTTATTTTTATCATCTATATTATGGATATTATCAGTTATTAACTGTATATTAAAACTGTTTTTTAGTAATAGGAGTACATGTTATAAACATATTTGTTTTATTTGTTGGAATATTTTATTTAAAATTATTTTTTTTAAATAATAATAAATTCAATGTTCAACTATTATTATATTATATATTAGTTATATTATTATAGTTGAATGAAATGGGAAAAAATAAATCTGAGAAAAAAATTGATAAAAAATCAGAGAAAACTACTAAAGGTTTGACTTAAAACTAATAATAATAATAATAATAATATTAATTGAAAAATGTGATACAATTTTGTATATTATATGTATTGTATATAAAATATATATATAAGAATAATGTTTATTATATCACAAATCTATTCATTTATTATATTAAATTATAATTTACTAAAATATTTGTTATCATTATTGTATAAATTTTATCAAAATATGTTGGCAACAGATCCGGACAATAAATTTATTAATCAAATGATCGATGAAGAAATTAATAATTTAACCAAGTTAGTTTAATTAAATTAATTACAAATTAAAATAATTAATATATATTAAAAACTACATTTTTATGTGTCTAGAAAACCGGGTGCAAGTAGTTTGAATGATGACAAACCTGGAGCTAAAACTAATTGTTCATCAAAAATGTCAACAACAAAATCAGGTAATTATTATTATTATTTAATTAATTACTGTTTTTTAAATATAGTATTTATATTTTTTTTGTTTAAAATATTTAAAAAAAAATTTTTAAAAAAGCTACAAATGATAATAATAATGAAAAAAGTGAAACATTTGTTAATGATTGTCTATTGGCCGATGGTATTGCCAGGAGTATCAGTCCAGCCCAACAACAACAACAAGATACAGGTGCCGTACCTAAGCGGTTATATTCATCGGCAGTGATTATCGGTTCGTCGACAACTAGTTATAGGGGACAGTCGTCATCGGCAACGACGGCATTGAGTTGTTCAGTACAACAACAACAACAACGACCCCAAGAGTCAGCAAAAGTTTTTGGTAACAATCATAATGATGACTACCGTTCAAGTAATAACATAAACACTAGATATAATAATAATAATAATAATAATAACGATTGGTTAGCAACAACATCAACATCATCAACATATGGCAATACTAACACCAACTACAACAACAAACATGATTACAATACCCGATCCAATACTAATACTACTAATAATACTAATTATGATAATTATAAGTCAAACATACCATACGGTGAGGATGTGGCTAAAAACTATGGACAACACAATAATACCATTGATGATGAAAATGACTATCAAGTGCGAGAGGCAATCAGGTTAAGCAAACTAGAAGAGGAGGAACGCCTAAAAAGTATTAATTTTTTGTTTTAAATAATAATAATTTTTACTATTATTAAAAATTAAATTTTTTTTCATATATACAATGTATATATAATAGAATTAGAACATGAGCGCCGTCAACTAGTGGAGCTCCGGGAGCAACAAAAATGGGACCTACGAGAGGCACTGGTCAATATAGTTACCGGCACCGATATGTCGCAACAAAAATTATTTGATTTGAAAAGACTGCTAACAGACTATGAACGAGACAGTGGACAGTCGATATACGAGTGCTATCAAATCAAACAGTTCAGGAACAGTACGGTCAATGATATGTCAAAGCTGGTTCTATGTGTTATTAGAGGACTGGGAGGACAGGTATCAATGAATGTGGTGGCCTCGTATTTTGCCGATCATTTGGCCCGTATTTGTTTGGAATTTAATCATAGAAACTACTTGAAATTGTATGACCCAACTGTCCATCGACGTGATCCCGAAGCACAGATGACTCACGAGGCACTGGACGATAAACTAGTATGTGTTCATATCAAAGGTGATGGTAATTGTTTGTGGTCTTCGGTTAGCACTTCTATATACGGTTCGGACGAATATATGGAATCCCTACGCCTGTTGACGGCATCGACATTAGTAGACTATCGGTCAAGTTTTGAAAAGTCATACAAATCGGACATACCCTACGATGAACTTATTGAAAAAGCTGTTACACTTCAGGAATGGGGTCACGAGTTGCACATACAGGCACTGTCGCTGGCACTGCACCGACCTATCTATATGTACAGTTCATTCGTATCATTGGTCGAACCTTATCGCCAGACCTATGATCAGCTCCGGGAGTCGTATGAGTCGAAGTTTATTCACAATCATATGAGGTTTTTGGCTGACGGTAGCTATGAGGGTAAGGTACCAGTGCTGTTGTATTATAACGGTTTAGATCACTACAGTGTAGTACTGCCTAAGCGTGTAGGTGTGCGCCCGTTGAAGCCGTACACCGAAATGATGGAACCCATGTTTAACAAAAAAGGTTTGATTTAAATAATTCAAATTATTTTTAATTAAATTAAAATTTATTTTTTTAGTAAGCATACCGGTGCCTGAGCCGACACCAATTAAACAACATATTGATAAAAGCGTTAAAAATAACAATAATAATAATAAAAATTTAAACAAAAAGAGTCAAGGTATTTTTTCAATACTATTAAAATAAATAATTTTTTACTATTAATGTAAAAAATATAATTTTTTTCTATTATAGAAATAGATTTAATTGATTTAACTGCCAGCACTGGTAGCCGTAAGCCTAATACTACTACTGATGCTGTACTCGAAACTAATTTGGATAACTGTGCCGATGATGATGATAATGGTTGTGGTTGTGGTGTGGATGATAAAAATGACAATAAAAATAAAATCTACAATTATATTCAGGAAAATCATCTAGATGATAATAGACTAGACAATGATAATGGTGATGATGATGATGGTGATAATAAGGATGAACCTGAAATTGACCTGGATCACAAATTGGAACTGGATAAATTGAACAGACAAATTGCCCAGTTACAAAATGAACGAGATAAATTTGAAAATGATTTCAATATGTATTACAATCAATATACCAGGTCATTGGATGAAAATACAAAATTATTGAAAAGTTTCAATGAATCGGATGCCCGGCACCAGTTAGACAAACAGGAATGGTATCGATCGGTAGCTGAGCTCCGGGAGAAATATGAGATACTGGAGAACGAGTCCAAACTGGATAAGGCTATGATCGATGGTCTTAGGGGACAGTTATTACAGCGTATTGGTATTGGTGTTGGTGGTGTACCGCCGGGATTTGGTAGGGGAAGCATGTTTAGACCTGGAACCGGTATCCAAGCTCCTGGCCTTGGATGGAGACTGGTTTCTAGTAACCAACATAGAGATGTCGAGTCGCTAAATAACAATCTGGATAAGCTGTCTAAAAATAGCCAACATATAGGCACTGGTAATAAATATGATGACCAACATAATTTAATGACTGATGATGAGGATAGTAATAATGGTGCCGACAATGGTAGCAAAAATAATAATAGTCATAAAAATGACACTGATGAAAAAATGGATTGCGATAATTATATGTAAATATTTTTATTGGTAATTATAAATACATTAATTATTATATATGATTATATTTATATGTGTGTGTTTTTTTTACTTAATTAATTAATTAATTGTACAATAATTATGAATCAATTATTTAGTCAAACGATACACATTTCATACACAATAATAATATTGTTTTTATAATCACTATTAAAATTTCAAATTTATTTTCTATTTCTATTATTAAATATGATTGCAATTATTTATAGCAATAAATATTTTTTAAAATTTTGTTTTTTAATTTTTTTAATTCATATAACTATTGTATACTTTCTACTATTAATAATTTAGATTTTAAAGACAATTATTTAAATATAAAATTTTGTTTTTTTAATTATTAAATAATTTAAAAATAAATATCTTAATAGTTATCGAAAAAAATAATAAAAATATTTAACATTATATTGATATTTATTTCATTATATTTTTTAATTAAAAATATTATATATTAAAAATAAAAAGTTATTATTTGAAATAAATATTTTTAAATAAAATTGTTTATTAAGCATTTTTAAATATTTATTTTAGTAATTATTATTTTATAACATTAATATTACTTTTTTAATTACTTAATTAAGGTAAATTATTTGCATAAATAATATTTTATAAAATTGTTAACAACTAGGTTATTATTAAAAATAATTATGTTTTTATCAATTAATAAATCACGTTAATATTTTTATAATTTAAAATGTAAAAAATAATGCCAATTAAGTTCAACTTTTAATAAACTAATAATAAATAATTATTGAATATAAAATAATATAATAATTGGACGAATATTTTATTATCTAACTTTTTAGATAAAAATATTTTAATTAATATAATATTTAAATATTTTCTAATTTATTACAGTTGTATTGTAACTTATTTATTATAATATAAAATATTATACATAGTATTATGTAGTATTAGGAAAACATTAATTTTAGTTAGCAGTTTGTTAGACATTATAAAAATTATTATAACTATTTTACAAAGTAATAAATAAATATGTATTAAATTGTTATAAAATTTAGTTTATATATATAGTGATTATTTGTACTTTGAATCTAACATTTATATATAATAAATATTTTTTAAATATTATTTAATGTTAACAATATAATAATTCATATGATAAACTCAATTGTATTACAAAACAACTATTATATGACATATCCATTAAATACATATACATATACTTGAGTTATAAATTAAAATTATAATTTATTTATCATATTAGTAATCGTTAGATGGGGGGGGGGGAATTAAGTTTCAATATTTATTTTTATTATTTCATTGATATATCATATCAATTAATATTGATGCAAACAAAATACCATTACTACTAAACATTAAAAAATAAAATATGTTTTTAAAATAAACATTTAATTTATGATAATAATATAAACAACAAATTGTGTTTTTATTAATGTAAGTATAAATATTTTTTAAAAATGTTTATAATTAATTAATATGTTTTTATTTGTTTAGTTATGTAACTCTTATTATATATATACCGGTATATTAATCAACAAATTATTAATAACACACTAATAAAACATGGCTTCTGGAGGTGTAGGCGCCGCCGATACAGATAGCGATGCTCTCAGACAACATATACGTGCGATAATTGCCCAAAAAGTTGATGAATATTCCGCTCACGAGTTGGACGACGAAACTACTAAAAAACTGATCAAACAGGACGTCCAACGAGAGATGATATTATGGAAACATAAAAAACCAAACACTGGGTATACCTCCTCCTCCCCCTATTGCTACTACTACTACTACTACTACTACTACTACTACTACTACATATTATAATTGATTTAATTAATTATTTATAATAATTTTCACTATAGAAAGCCGACTAAATATCAAAAAGTCAAACAAAAATTGAAACAATTTATTAATCCTCCCATTGATACCAATGCTATTGAAATACGGAACCGATCGGACCAACAATATCAATTGGCAGTGGCATTGAGCCAAAAACAACAAGTAAATCATCATGGTGATATAAATTGACATATATTTTTTATATCGACAAAAAAACATAAATTTTTGTTGTTTATTAAACTGTTTTTAATTACTGTACAAATTAGATGAACATAAACAAATTGGTGAGGCAATTGTTTTAAGTGAACAATCAAATGTAATTGATAAATATTATCATGGTAGTTTTTAATTTTGGTGTCTAATTTTTAAAAAATGTTAATTTAAATTATTATTGATATTGATATAGATGAATTACAATTGGCCATAGAGTTAAATAAGCAAATCAACTCTGTTGATGTTGATGTCGATGATAATAATGATAGTAATAGTGTCAATGATTTAATCAAATTTGATTGCGAGGTATGTATGGATCAGTTTCCAGTTGATAGTGCCGTTAGCTACGGGTGTGAGCACCGGTATTGCGAGGATTGTGTACGTCAAACGTTAACCGTTGCCATCGATGACAACCGTATCAAATCACTTGCCTGTCCGGCGACCGACTGTACCGCTGAGGCCACCCAACAACTGGTTAGACGTATTTTGGGCGACGAGCTGTACAACCGATACGATCTACTGTTACTTAAGTCAGCGGTCGGTGCTATGGATGATGTGGTAAATAAAT